AGTGCCTGGGTGGTTCTCCATTTCTGCCCTCACACAGCCCTGTCAGGCTACATAAGGGTGGCTCCTGGGGTGTCTGGGGGAGAATGAGGAAGGGCTTGGGGACTTCCCAAGGGCTCTCACACCCCTTTGATTCTCTGGTTGGTTTGTTTGTTTGTCCCCTTCTGTAGGTGGTGAGGGCCATCAACACCGTCTTGCTGTGCAAGGTCATTCACCTCAGCGACATGGAGCACATGGTCGCCAGCTTTGTCTCCATGGGCTTCCCCAACTGCAGGAAGGCTATTGACGGCACCCACATCCCTATCTGGGTCCCTGACTACCAGGCATCTCAGTACATTAACGGGAAGGGATACTTTTCAATGGTACTGCAAGCCCTGGTCGACAACTGCGGCCAGTTTTCGGACATCTTTGTCCGCTGGTTGGGGAAGGCGCATGGTGCCCGCATGTTCAGAAACTCCAGCCTCTTCCAGAAGCTGGAGGCCAGCACTTTCTTCCCTGATTGCAGCATCAGGGTCAGGAAAGTGGACATGCCACTGTGCATCATGGGGGACGCAGCCTACCGTCTCGTGCTGTGGCTAATGAAGCCATATACTGGACACCTTGACTCCAGAAAGGACTGTTTCAATGCCCGCCTGGGCAGGGCCTACATGCAGGCGGAGTGCACCTTCAGGCATCTCAAGGCGATATTCAGATGCCTCCTGACCTGCCTGGATGTGGGGGAGCAGAACATCCTCAGGTGGTGTCCTCATGTTGTGTGCTCCACAACATAGTGAAGTGGAAGGGGGAGGCCTTCCTTCCAGGTTGGGGGGCAGAGGCTGGCTGGGAGGAAAGGGCCTTTGAGCAGCCTCGCACAGCTGCGCTTTGTCAGGCCCATTAGACGGGGGTGTGCATCCGGGAGGCCCTGAGGGAGAGTTTCTCACAAGGACCCTAGTGACACTCTCCCCAGGGCCTCCCCGCTGGGTGTCTTTGCCTTGCCCCTGTTTTCCTTTCCTCCAAAAATCCTTCCCTTCCCCCCTTCCCCCCTATAGAGACAATAAAAAAGACTGGTTTATAAAAACAGAACTGTTTGGTGATTTATTTGGGGTAGAAGTGACTGGGAAGGGACGGGGGAGAGAACCTTGGAGGGGGAGGGAGATGAAAGGGGGTTGAGGAGGAAGAGATGCTCAGGGCTTGGGCTGGCAGTGCCATGTGGCTCGGGAGCTCTTGTGTGGGGACCTTGGTGACCTCTGGGGTGGGGGGGTCTGGGGAGAGAAGCAAGGGG